CCCTTGGTTCAATCCCCCTACCAAAAAAAAAAAGAATTGTTACTGTTTCCAGCTGGTGTGTGAGTTACCTTAAGTGTTGAAGCAAATGTGTGCCTTTGCCAACTCAGAACAGTGTTTATGTGGAGGGCATCCTTCATCCATCAGAAACAACAGAAGGAAGGCAAGTGAATACCCAGCCTCCAGTTGGGACAAACAATAGAAATAGAAATAGATAGCCTGGAAGGAAAAGTTGGGGGTGAGCTTCTGGAGGAGAGGTGGAGACATAACCCCATGGGCAAGGGAAAAGGACTTAGCTTCTTGGAGGAAATGCAGGGAGACAACTTCTAAGGTGAGATACCGAGTTGAGTCTGTGATGTGAGTGGTATGAACTTAGTTTCTGGAATTGAAACCAAATCCACCTTCTGCTACTGTAACAGTGGTATACTTTTGTTGTTGTTTTACTATTGTTATTGCTATTTTATTGTTGGATCAGCTCTTTTTTTAATTGATTTTTAAAAAATGACAGCGGAATGCATTACAATTCTTATTATACATGTAGAGCACAATTTTTCATATCTCTGGTTATATATAAAGTATGTTCAAACCAATTCATGTCTTCATACATGTACTTTGGATAATGATGTCCATTACATTCCACCATTACGCTAACCCCCTGCCCCCTCCCTTTCCCTCACACCCCCTGCCCTATCTAGAGTTCCTCTATTCCTCTCATGTTCCCCCTCCCTACCCGACTATGAGCCAGTCACCTTATATAAGAGAAAACATTTGGCATTTGTTTTGAGAGGATTGGCTAACTTCACTTAGCATTATCTTCTCCAATGCCATCCATTCACCTGCAAATGCTATGATTTTATTCTCTTTTATTGCTGAGTAATATTCCATTGTATATATATGCCACTTTTTTTTTTATCCATTCATCTACTGAAAGGCATCTAGGTTGGTTCCACAGTTTAGCTACTGTTGTAAAAGGAGTCCAGCGGAGCATCGGAGGGAGAGACCACACAAGAGACTTACTCCATGCAATTGGCAAAAGGGGATTTATTGGGGATCCATTCCAGCGCACTGGGGCTCCGTGCTCACTCAAGAAGGGAGAGCAGCCCAGAGCAGAAGTCAAGCAGAGCTTAAGTACACTTTCTGGAGAGGGCGGTGGGCTT